TTCTAGTATTAAAGGGCCAAACGTGAAAAGGACGGGGGACGGGTTCAAGCCACACCTGCCCGTCCCCCGTCCTTTTCCAGCATCCCATATATATTTGGATTCTCTCTCCATTATTTCAACCATAAGTATTTTGAATAGTCATAATAGTCAAAAGTCTTTCAAATAACCATAAGTATTTTATAAATATTTTGAATAACCATAAGTATTTCAAATAGCTGTAAATGTTTCAAATAGTCATAAGTTTGTCAAATAACCATAAGTATTTCAAATAGCCATAAGTATTCAAATAGTTGTAAATGTTTCAAATAGTCATAAGTATTTCAAATAACCATAAGTATTTAGAATAACCATAAGTATTTCAAATAGTCATTTCAACGAATAATTATTTGAATATCAATTGATAATAATTATGAATATTCGAATATCACTCACTATCAGAAGCCCTAGTCCTGTGACTGGTAATAATTTTATGGATCACGGAAAATTAAAATATCTCAAACAAATATTCCAACATTCTAAAATGTAATGGACTTTTAATTCTCAGATTAAATTTAAATGAAGGAATTTAAATGATTTGATCACATTAGAAATAACTTGAAAATAATTCTACAGTACAAACAACATTTCATATGATCATAAAATCAGTTTAGGAGTTTCAAGTTATTTTTGAAAGTAGTTTAGGGTTTCTAAGCTAGAAAGACAACTCTAATCAACATATTATTTTTTTCCTGCAAGAATCAGGCATGCAAAAAACCCCAGGACACCAGAAACCTCTCCAGATATGATCTCAAATTTAGTTAGTGTTTTAATCAAGGTTCCTTTCATGTCAATTTTGTATCCAATCTTTGCTCTTGAGAAAGGATCCATTTTTTGACTCTATATTTTGAAAAAAATTGTCATTTGAAATCCCTTCAAAGAAATATTGAAGAAAAATACCAGAAAACAATGGAAATGTTGTTGTCATTTTCAATTCTTCTTCAGTGCACATTTGAACTAAATTTGGCATCTTGTCCTTCCTGGATAATAGTCCAAAATAGTTTGTTGATTCTTTTCTAGTACCTTTATCACATAAAGAACACCATATTAAATAATAATAAATTTTAGATTATATATATTTAATACATATACATAAATTGAATGTTCACATCCAATTTGTTGAGAACTTCATCTTTATTAATATTTATGCAATTATTATCAAAAAATTTTTGGATGTTGTTTGGAGTAATAATGTTTTATTCATCTAATTTGATTAGAAAAGTCCTGTAATAAGTTTCAGATGACTTTACCTTTTATTTCAAAGTCATTGAGATTTCCTCTAGTCAAGTCTAATATTCCCCAGTATGCCAGACTAGAATTAGCAAATAAATTAAATGTGTAATATATTAATGAACAGGAAGTTAATCATAAATATTTAAATGATGATGCTAAACTTAAGATTTTACAAGTTTTTGGTATCTTTTGCTGATATTTATGAAATGATTCAATTGTGTTTACATCAAGAGGCTCCTATTGATGATGAAATAATGTGTTTAATGAATACCCTTTGGTACTTTATTATGCTCCAAATGTTTGTTTATAAATATTTATATCAAGCTTTACCTCTGAATGTCTATCGTTATTAGCATTTCTAATTGGTAATTGAATTTCATTTGATAGTGAATTTTCATCAACATTTTCAATTATTGATTCTTAATGGATTTATTAAATAAATATCCTTGCAAGTCATCATTATCTGCTGCACATTCAGTGTTTATATTATTGATATCCTTTTTATATTACATTACAGAAAAGTAAAATTTAATTTCACTTTTAAAAAAATCTAAGACCACTTATTTGAATTACTTACAGAATCTATTGTAGAGTAGTGGCAAAGGAGTCATTTGCTTCTTTGTTAAGATTTTCTTCATTCCAACTTTGTTCTAGTGTATCCACAACAGAACATGTATTATTATTTGTCGCCTAAGCAATTTTGAAAGTCATTTGTAATCTCACCTTTTTGTCATCAGAGTCTTAGCACTTTTGGTATCCATTATTTCCTTTATATTATTTACGCGTCTCAACAATGTTTTCTCAAAGTTGTACAACTATTGTCAATGTACTGGATCATACTATCTCTGGTTGCAAGAACCTGTTGCCTCACTTAAGCAATGAGAATGCTACTCAGTAATTTCTTTTTTTTTTGTCTTATGAATTTTCAGATTAGGGGCCACCTATGGGTGCTCAATATTCACATGTGCATATTACAAATTTTTTTTCAAATTATTCTTTGATGTAGTAAAATTCTTGGCAAACAAAACACAGAATTAGTAATATTTAAAAAAAAATTCTATAATAACAATATATTGTAAAGAAGCATCGAATTAAGAATACATCCTTGTTAGACTAACAGTCCCAGCTTGCACTAAGCGTCGAACTAGCAGTTCATCACTGTTCAGATTAAGCTTTTAACCCTTGCTAATTGATTCACGAAACTTATCCTATTTTCATTCAAATCCGTCCCATTAAATGAACGTATCTTCCGGTCATCAAGGATTTCTTGAGCTTTTTTTTTGCTCGCCACGCCAAAATCAGAATTAGGATTTGCCACCTCTTGAAGATCCTTCTTACACGATCTAGTATTTTTTTAAAATCCTTTTGTCCAACTTTGCACGGTAATATTAATGTACGTTCAACTTTCAATCGCGATGACATAATAAAAAGCTATAAGAGCAAGATGCAGGCATTCCGATAAAATTTTGGGAATTGGCCATTTTCCGATTACGCGTGTATAAATTTTTAGATTAAAATTTACTATTCAAATTATTATTATTATTAATATTATTATTTCATTTTATTCGTTTATTCAAAATTACTCATTCGTTTTATTCGAATTATATCTTTTTATTCGAATTATTCGTTTTATTCGTTTTATTTGAATTATTCGTTTTATTCATTTTATACACAATTCGCGCCCTGCAAATCGCATAATTTATGATGAAATTAACAATGTAATTAAATCATTATAAATAAAAAATTAATTTTGCACTGTAGTTAAAATAAATTTTTCCGACTAATAAAGATGCATCTACCTTAATATATAGTAAAAAAGTTACCATATATATAATGTATTTGTCTCGAATAAACCTCATGAATATTTGAATTAATTGGATTAAATTATAGAAAACAAACATTGCTTTTACAGTTTCTCATAAAGTTATAATATTAAAAATTTGAACTCTTAATTGCTATACTAAAGGCTTTGCTTCTAATAAAACTTTGTGGGTATTGGCAACTGCAAGTTTAAACAATAATCTGCATCTAGTGTTACTATAATTTCAACAGAAAAAAATATTATTTAATGGAATGAAGGTTACTATTTAATTTGTCTTGTTCCTAGTAAAAGTTTATGGATATTGACAACTGATGGATAGCAAATTAGAAACTGTGATTACAAAGTTTATTTGAATATTATTATGTAAATAAGAAATTCCATCATTTCTATTGTTATTGAAACATGATATTAAAAAAAAAA